TGTTAGTTTCTGAACTTTAAAGTTTCTTATAATTCTAGGGGGGGAGAGGTAGCTCATCGATTCTTCCGGTTTGCCTCCTAGCATCGTGCTATAAGGTACCAGGCGATAACCAGGGTAGTTGATCGATAGCTCGATGACGTCATTTCGTTGGCGTCTGCAATGGGAAATTCTCATAGCAGGCGTTGACGATGGGACGTTGTCGAGTTGTTGAATAGCAACTATCGTGGTAACTCACCGATTACCTGTCGATCTGCCAAATTTGGAAAGACGTCTGCATTGAATTATCTCAAATAATAATATTCCGCCCACTATATCACAAGAAATTGCGAGTAGCTGAGTGGAATGGAGATAAGTTAAGCATTGGGTACAGGACCAAGTCTCCCCTGGGTGGTTGCCATAAGGCACGGAATGAGACTATTGCATGGCTGGGTAGTCAAAGTCTTCCATTCGTTAGTCATTTCAGGTGGATTAGAACAGGTTTAGGTTTAGGGTGGGCGTTGGCCAGATTTGGATTGTTCAGATGTAATCCTGGATAGGACCCTGTCATTGAACGTCGCGTGAAAGTGGAACTTAATGAAGGCCTAAGTACTTTTTCGTAGTTGTTAGTTTTTGGATTTGAAAGATCGTCGGTTACAGTGGCCTGCTTACTGAACAGAAAAACGCGGTCCCAGGTCCTTACATATCAAAGAGATTTATGGTAAAATCGCTTGTGTATCGTGTATTTTGCGAAACTCGTTGTTGTCGTTGGTTCCGGGTTTGAATGGATACACAAATTTGAGCAACGGTATTATGTGATATGAGGGGCTCGGTGGCCTTAGAGCAACCGTTTTTGCTTACTGAGCAGATGAGTCTAATCTCAGGCCCATCCACATTCAAGATTCGTCAATCGTTTTATTTGTTAATATGACTACATGGTAATAACAGCAACAAAGGTGCTCGTCTGCCTAGTGGCAAACGTTTTTGCTTACTGAGCAGAAGACAATTCAGCTTATCGTTTACCAAAACGAACCCTGCTGCAAACCCAACCCTCTTATCCAACATCCCAGTGATTCCTCGTGGAAGTGCAGAGGTGTTCTCGGCTTCCATCAAAGCGAGTGTCATGTCAACACAATCCTTCCCATTCCTTTCTTGACCTGTGTTCGGGCGCGGCCGGCGCTGGTATTGCCTAATTTAAGATCACCAGTTTTTACACATTGAGGATGATTGCTAGTCCCAAGCATCGTTTATTGGTTCTCTGTGTAATTACAGCTGATCTGACAATAACAGAGTAGCAACCGTGGGCGGTCAATCAAGCTCAAGTTTAAAGTTTCTTATAATTCTAGGTAATCCAGATATTCTGTGCCACTGTTCTCGACGACAAATGTTTGCAATTGTTGTTGTTCTTATTTATAAAACTTATTTAAAATCAAATCTCAATAAATGGTTAGCATTTGTAATGATATCCTTATTTGGGGATTGCAATACCGTATTCCATAGTTATACATTTTTTCGACAATCATTAACAGGCTAGATGAGCCGAGAGATGAGCTATACTCAGGTGAGGTTATGTTTGATAGAGCTACCGCTGCGGTCATATCAACAAATTTCTATTAAATGGGTAAAGTTTACCCTGTTGTCAACATCTCAGTAACCATTACCCAGTTTCTGTCGCAAGTACGTTGACCCAGATTTGAGGTAAATGCTTGTTTACCAATTTTTGGGTAGACTCTACCCATTTTTGGGTAGTTTGCAAGTAGCGTGCAGCTAAGGGAAGCAATTCAAGCTGAACATTGCATTACGTCCTAAGTAACATTGACAGATTCTCTTCGTCGACTTTCTCTTTTTATCCCCACGGCCATGTAAAGACATTCCCAGGTATTTTCAGCACACAGTTCAATAAAAGAAGCTTTTATCTAGCATCTAATACGACAAACAAAACAAGAAACGGTTATGTACTCAGTTATTACGGAAGAGAAAGTTGACGAAGAGAATCGAGCAATGTTACTTAGGACCTAAGTCAGCTTGAATTGTCTGAAATTTTTCCAATACACACACTTAATTTTTTTCGCCGAGATTCCAACAACCGAGTAGTTCTGCAATTTATTGCCGAGAGTCAGCTAAAAAATAAAATTTTGCTGAGATCTCAGCTAACAAACAGATATTTTGCAGAGATATCAGCAAAAGTAAATGCCGAGGTAATCGGCTGTTGAAAATTTTACCGAGCTATAATAAGTGTGCAGTGCTGTAACATGTTGTATTAGCTATCAAAAGCAACAACAAACGCACCGATGAATGTTAATCCAAGCGAGCTATTAACAAAAAAGAATATCGACGAAGATAATCGATTATCGCGATTACGTCCTTATGCATGCTCACTGTCGAAGTATTTGGATGATGTTCCATGTAGACAGGGAAAGTTTATGGCCAGGCCCTCAGAATATCTAGATAGAGCTGAAATTAGGCCGTAACAGCCTTTGTAAACCATGACTTCTCTCGTTGATTTCTAGGAATTCAAGGCACGCCTACACAAACCAACATATCCAACTCTTTCTATTACTCTTTTCCTACACATTGAGCTTTCGTTATTTCTGGGTGTGTGTCTGTCTTCTCTTCTTCGTTGCTTTACACTTGCGCAAAGTGAAAGACAACTAAACTTATGTCGTTTTCGTTTTTGCGGTGTAGCTCCACCGGTGCTACACTGCCGTACACCGAAATATTTTAGGGTGTAGATATAGGATGCACCTTTGTTTACAAACAAATGATGTTGAGCTGTCAAAGACTCGCGCTTATTCCTGCTTAAGCCTAGTATACAGATCGAAGCGAAATGAAAATTGAAGCATGCGAAAAATCATGACATTTCGCTAGCGAAAAAAGGTTGTGAAAAAATGTTTGTGAACATTTTCCAGTTTCCTTTTTTCGCAGTTTACAGTTCATGTGAAACGAAATCGATCAGTTTATACCTCCGGTGAAGTGACAATCTGACAGATACGCTCTTTCTCGAAACGTCAACTTTTCGCTAGCGCTGCCTGCGCGAAAAAAATAAACGTAAGCGAAAAAGATACGATCCACAACATTAGATTTCGCTGGATCGTATCTGTTTACAGTTCAAAGCGAAGTGAAAAATTTGCCAATTTCGTTTTTCACGCAGGTGAAAAATTTAGCATTTTGTATGAGGTTTTCGCTTCGCTTCGATCTCTATATACAGGCCTTTACACTACACCACTGCTACATCGCAAAAACGAAAACGACATTGGTGTTTGTTTGATTCTCACTTTGTTTATTTCAGAAAATAAGTACATTGCGCATATTGAGTGATCAGATGACAGTCCTGCACCTACTCTTACGGGCCACCTATACATTAGATCCGTTTGCGTTGCGTTGACGTACATTTGACAGTTAGACAATAGATTTAGCTGCCACTTTGCCGCAACGCGTCAGATCCGGATCTAATATGGATGGCCCTTTGCACTCTAGCATGAAACTATCAGGTCCCACTCACGATTCTTTCTTATCATCTAATTCCCTTCTCACGAGTAGATTGTAGGTACGAGCTGATTGCTGATAGGGGCAATAAATCAGTAATACAACGATTGCTCGCGTACGTTTGTCGTGGTGTGAATTCTACTCCTACAGTTTCAGTGAGAATGACGCGCCCTTCTGAACAAACCATCCTGTAGGAAGCCTAATAAGTATTGCGAATTGTGTTATTCGATTTGTTGGATCGTATCGTTGGAAGGCGATTCTTAAATTCCCGTGGATTTTGGGTAAATGTCTCTGCTTACGGGTCTGCCCCTCCGCTTTGGGCCCTTTATAATTTAGATCGGTAGCTCAAATTGATCTTGCTATAAAGTGGAGCTACACACGAGACAAGATCTTCGAAGGAATAGTAGCTACGTTTCATACATACAATACAATACACCGATTGCTCGCGTACGCTGATGTGTTTCTTCATTTGACCGTTTTGAAGACGAATAAATTCTAGTCCAGTTATGATTAGCATCGTGTTAGTTGCAAATAAACGCTAGTTTAGTTATTTAATCCGGTGAAGTTTTTAAGTGTAAAATCCAAAATCCGGCCGAAGTGTAATCCGGTGCGAACACATTCCATGTGAATAGCTGACTGGGTAGCACAAGTCTGGTCGAACACACAGCATGTGATGCTTAAAACTATCCACTAGTCCCAGTTCGGCTGGATTTCGTGACTCCACTAAGATCCTTCCACTATTGGGCTTTTGGTGGAACAACATTCCATCATACAGAACTTCTCTAGGATATTGATGGCAGCAGCTTCCTTCGACAGCATCAGAACGTCACGGTCTCGGCTGGAGTCATCTTGAACTAATCGGAAAAGCGATTTATCTATTCTAGATAGAGCTGGAATTTAGGCGTTACAGCTATTGTAAACAATGACTTCTCTCGATGATTTCTAGAAAGTCATGGCTCGCCAACGCAAATCAACATCACCATCGCTTAGGGGAAAACTTCTCCTACCCGACGGTTATGTTGGTTTGCGTTGGCGTGCCTTGAATTCCTAGAAATCATCGAGAGAAAACATTGCTTACAAAAGCTGTTGCGACCTAATTCCAGCTCTATCTGGAATTAATAACTCAGCCAGATTTAAAGCAACCTTCTACCAGAGATTTTAATCAAATGTTCTGGATAAAGAAAGCTCAAAATATTGCTCCGTAGAAGAATTCAAGGCAACGTCATTTACAACTGGTCGAATGATGTGATACATTCTTCAATTCAAGACCTACAATTGAAAAGGCTCCATTTAGTAAACAAACCTTTAAGGCCATTTTTGTTGGTTTGTTGGTCTTGAATTGTTCGAAGGTTACGTCTGACGACTATCAATCAAAGCATCAACGGAAAGCACCAGAAAGAATTCAACGCTTTTACGATGAGATCACACCTGTTTCTGTAGAATCTCTGCCGCGTTGAGATAAAATTTCAGCACCGTTGGGCTTGTTTCCAACCGTATCTGGTTCCGCATTTTTGTCTTTTGGTACCTCCATGTACCTGTGGTACCTCGTTTCGTTCCCGGTGCATAAAACCCGGTTTGAAGTCCATCCGAACAATACGGAAACTGTGATGGACAGCAACTGTCGATAGTCTGGCCACGATGTCGATTCCAAGGTCGTCGATTGTCGTCCGATTTTGTCTTCTTTGAGCCCGAACACTTACTTTTGCTTAGGTGGCTTCACACCTATAGGGCAAGGCATTCGCGTCCATACGTTGTTAGTCATTGAGCTGAACTCGTTGTTTACCGCCTGGCAGTACAAATCACGATCGTAAAGGGCCACCCACATTAGATCCGTTTGCGTTGCGTTGACGTAAATTTGACAGACAATAGATTTAGCTGTCACTTTGCCGCAACGCGTCCGATCCGGATCTAATGTGCGTGGGCCTTAACGCTTGGTAGTTTAATCGAATGTTTTAAACGTCCTCTACACACGGGAAAACAGGTAGAGCAGTTGTTCTGTACCTCGTAGCAGAGGTGGCAACAGTACATTTTTTGAAAAACCATCGTACAGAGCGAAACAAAACAGCCAGCACACGGGCGGCCGTTTATAACTACATTCCAAGCGAACAGCGGAGATAGAGAATAAATAAAATCTCGCAGCCTGATTTTTCCAAACAGTTTATTGTAATGAAATTTTAGCTGCAGGCTTGCGTGTGACAGTAAATTACCAACTCCCTTATTTACGCATAATTTTAACATCAATGCTTATGAGTGGTCAGTCTTCATTCTTATTTTTTAATTCCATGCAATAAACATCAAATAAATGCAGTAATTAGCCAGAAATCAGCAAAATTCTACACGACATAAATTTATGTCGCGCGCGCCGCCGGTCTTGTCTGCTTCTTTGTGCGAAAATGTTCTGTCGCTGGCAGAAAACAGTTTAGAAATGTCATGACATTTATGCCGCTTGCCAGTTTGTTTTTGTGTGTCGTCAAAATGGTTATCGCAAAAAGTATCAAATGTTAAGGAAAAAATGTTAAACTCCAGGACTCGTGCCACCACTGCCTCGTAGACGATTCGCCGATACAGTCTTCCAGAGAGATGCTGAGCTTTCCCTCAGACTTGGTAATTTTTAGGACCCAAGAAGTACAGACCACCGAGATCAGTCATCTCAAATTTCTGTCTCACTGCATTATAGATTTGCTCAATTTCAGCATCGCTCTTTCACTGCTAACCAGAATATCTTCTTCATAAACGAGCAGGTACACGACTAACGAAATCAACCAAAATTTGAGTTCAGTTTATTCATAATCGCAAAAGGTGCAGGAACTCAGCGATGAGTAAATTTCCTGTGGAAAACCTCAAAAATCTGCCGGAAAATGAGGAAATTTACTTAAATTTTACTCAGTCTCTATGAGTGTACCAATATACTGAGCGAATCCAATCTTTTCTTTTCTCATATACGGGAATATTTTTCCTGGAAAACTGGGAAAAGATGAGGCAAATTTACTCATTCCTGCACTTATTGCGATTTGAGTAAACTAAACTCTAATGTGAGTCGATCTCATTGGCCGTGTAGATTCGCTTTCTATTGACAACAAGCACTACAAGAACGAAGTGGTGGTTCTAGCAGTCAGACAAACGCCTCTTTGCCTTTGACTTAGAATTCAGTTCTAGATAGAGCTGGAATTAGGGCCTAACAGCTTTTGTAAACAATGACTTCTATCGATGATTTCTAGAAATTCAAGGCTCGCTCACGCAAACCAACATCCTTATCGGGTAGGGAAAGACTTCCCCTTTCCGATGGTTGTATTCGTCTGCGTGGGCATGCCTTGAGTTCCTAGAAATCATCGATAGAAGTCATTGTTTACAAAAGCTGTTACGCCCTAATTCCAGCTCTATCTAGAGTTGACTATTTTGTCGACAGTTTCCCGATAGGCCTTCTTCACTTCGAAATACTTCAGCATCAGGTTTTGCTTACCCACAACAGCCAGTAAAGTCTTCAACGTGATTTGCTTAGTCACAGGGACAACCACGCTTTGCACTGCATCACACCTCCAGTTGCATTCCGTTTCAGCTTATACACCCATCGGCACCCGATCTTCCGAGTAACGTTCCGAGATGTCACGTTCAGTTAACAGCATGTGATTCGATTTCATTCCTGCGCACTATCCAACTCGTTGCTTGCAGCTGTCCGATTTTTTAAAGCTGTTTTGGTTCCTTCAGTTCCTAGGCAGAAAAGTCACCGACTGCAAAGATTTCTTCGATCCTCGTTTTCGTTAGAACTCCTTTACCTTGCATGCTCATCCTAGGACTCTAGCTGACGAGTCACCATCAGATACATTTGTCGTAGAATGAGTGTCCAAGGCCGAATCTGGCTTTTTGTCTTCATTGTCAGGCTCTGATTGTGAATCAGTTTCTGTGCCTGTATCCGCTGGGGGGTTTCCTCAGTACCTTCTAGACTGATCCACTGATTAACAAGACATGCAACCTATCCCTGAAGCCACCTTATTGCGACTTCGCAATACATAGGTAGACTCATTTGTGTTGGTAGGTGCAAGGCGTCGAAGATGAATTGAAGCAAACCAGTTTGATTAGAAATTTGTCGTTTAACTCTTGTCCATCTCAAAAACCGGAATTCGTTCCCCTTCGCCCGTTATCTAGTGTGGGACCTTTCATTGAAGATATCGTAGAATGGATATCTTTGTGAAAAGATTCAAAAAAGCTCATTTCAAGTTTATCCAGATATGACACTCGAATCTACACTCAACCCAAGTTCTCGAAGAAAACACGCACGCCACAGAAAGAGAGAGAGAGTGAGAGTTCAGTTTTGATAACCTAACGAATTGTATTTCCACTGTCCATTATAGATCTTACACACTACTACCTAATGGATTCCAGCATCTCAATTTACCTAAATAGTTCCACTAGACAAAACAACACAGACGAACCGAATTTAGCACATCATACCCTACCTATAACATTCTAGTTTAGCTTACCATAAGCTGATTGAGTCTCACTATTCGATAGCTTTTGCATTGACCCTCCTCAACTACCCACAACTCATCTACTACCAGTACGTACACGCGAATGCTCTGCCACCGTCTTTTAGATCGTCGGAAGCCTAAAGGTGGTGGCACCATTGAGATCAGTTATTCACCAGTGACTAACACAGGGCACAGATAGGTCACAAAACTTTCCTCTCTTCCAGCGGTTCTACATGCTACTAGCCGACTGCATATCTTAGATGCTGTAGGAAACACATTCGTTACAAACAAACAGATCCTAATCCCAGTTTCCACAAAGTTCGATTCAACCGGTCTGCCTTTTAGCGCTGTCGTTCACCCCTCCTAATGCATTGTTGTTAGGATTCGTCCTCTATTGTTTTCATTTTCTGTATCATTTTTCTCGTTTTCCTTTCCTCTGCGCGCTATTACACAACACTGACTGAAGTTTGCTTATGAATGTAGTAGGTAGTTATTGATAAGTTAGAGTTAAAATTAACAACAGTTACCTATCGAGCTGGCCGCTCTTCGATTCTCACCTGTTGGTAATGTTGATACTGGTGGGCGGTGTGGCGACGGTGTTGTTCCCACTTCCGGCGGCTCCCCCAGCGGCACTCACACCGGCCCCGGACGAGGACGGAACAACCAAGGAACCGGTATTGCTGCTGCCGCTGCTGGACGCCGATGCCATCGCCGCTGCCGCCGCCGCAGAGTTGTCGTTGGCCGCAGCTGCAGCCGCTGCCGCTGCGGCCACCGCTGGTGTCACTTGGATGAACTTTATGCTACTGGTTGCATTGTTGGTAGCGACCGCAACCGTCGTTGTTCCATGGGAATCGAGTTGCTGCTGGTGCTGGTGCTGTTGTTGTTGCTGCTGTTGTTGTTGCTGTTGCATTTGTTGGGCACGAATACTGACCGCGGGTATCCGTTGAATCCCTTTACTATTTACAATTGTGGTGGCGGTCGATTGTGACGCTCCCAGGATACTCTGCACATTCGTCGTTATTTGCTGATGCTGCTGCTGTTGTTGCTGTTGTTGTAGGGCACTGACACTGTTCATCAACTTCTGCTGCTGAATAGGTTGAATGATGTTGACGACTTTAGGATTGAGGTGTGCCACGAACTGTCCGCGATTGTTTTTGATATTGGCGTAAACGATTCGCTGCTGCTGTTGTCCTCCGCTGCCAACGGAAGTCACCTGCCCTTGGCCGCCATCCATCGTTTGAAACTGAGCCATTTGCTGACCCTGCTGCTGCAGTAGACTCGAGTTGATTGCAATCTTCCCATGGGGTGATGCCGCCGCAGCAGCAGCCATCAGTTGACCAGCAGCTTGCTGGATCAGCTGGGGTGACGACGTCAGGATGATCTTGTTCTGCGTCCCTTGCTGAGGATTTTGGCCCGTCGAGGAGAGGATGGTGATCGGTTGCTGGAGGGAATTCTGTATCACGTTATACGTGCTGGTGCCACTGGTTCCCTGCTGATGTTGCTGCAGTTGCTGCTGCTGTTGCACCACTTGAGCAGCAGCAGCCGCCGCAGCCGAGGCCCCATGATTCGCTGGGGAGGCCGATTTGACGAGCATCTTCTGCGAGGACACGAGAGCCTTCGTTAGCATCTCCAGTTGCTTCTTGTTGAGATCACCAGCTTTCTGACCGGCGGCGGCCAGCTTCTGGTTTATAAGCGTATGGAACTTCGGGTTGATGAAGTTTTGTTTCACTGGAAAGAGAGGAACAGTTTCGATGAAAATGGTCAAACTACGGTATTCTGAAGGTTTACTATTGGCACAGTCTTTCAACTGCTTGCAACTTCTATGCCGAATGTAGATTCCTATGTATTGACTTCAGCCAATCGTTAGAGTGGCGAAAATCAAGACCTCTGAACAGCGTGGTCAATTTAGGAAATTTAGCATTCTTCTTAATTTGAGATATGGGTCATTCCAGCTCAAGGGGGTGCAGAATTTTAAAAAGTTGTGGTCGATGTCACCGATTTGAGAAAAACTTGGCCAAAACGCTTATTTTGGCATTCTGAACAAACGCCTTTTTCGATTGTACTCTAAAATGCCTAGATCCTGCTGGGCTACAACCCTGGATTTTCGAGATCTTTAAAAATTTCAACTTTCAGGAGAAATTACTCAACAACCAAATAAGCTATTCGTGATATTAGAACGTCAATTTGAAGGTTTATTAATGTTAATTCACATTTTGTTTTTGTTATAGTAACTACAATAAACAGACTGATTACCGGAAGGTACCAAAATGGTCAAAAAATGGAATATTTCCACCATATGTGGGATTTTTTATTTCTTAATATTTTGGGCTCAAAGTTTCACCATACTTTGGAAAACTCTTCTACTAGACGTGTTTCTAAGGGCAAATGATTTGGACAAATAGTTTTTGAGATATGACCAGATGAGTGAGTGGTAGTTTTGAGCTTTTCTGGTGGAAAATCAAAGATATTTAATTTATCACACATCACACTGAGAGTTCTGCTGCTGTGCTGTGACTGCTGTACATAAGGGCATCTCCACCGCGGAAGTTATACGACGCTATTCTGGACTTCGCTTGTTGAAAACCTTTCCATGCCATCTCGACTATGAACATGGACCAACAACAGAAACTGGATGAAGCAAACGACGGATGTCCTGAGTAGTTGGGGCACCCCTGGTACGGAAGCTATACCACCACCGGAACCAGTGGATAACCCCCGACGCTCAGTCCCCCCTATTCTGCGAGTCACGTGACTCTCTCTCACCGAAGAGGTGACAATAGTCACCTCGTGTGAGGTGACTCTCCATTTGATTTACATGGAGAGTCACCTCACACGAGGTGACAATTGTCACCTCACCGGTGACAGAGAGTCACGTGACTAGCAGAATAAGGGGGAGTGGCTTCTTCGCTTCCGGGACGCACAAAAGGTACACCCCTCGTTCCCCGGGTTTTTCCCTGCCTTCTCCTCGGGGCAGCCGAGGCCCCGTCAGTGCGGACGTCACTTTTTTACCGGAACTGGCGGACAACCCCCGGCACCCCGGGGATGGCAGAAGAGGGACAGACAAGGGTTTTTACGCCCATTCCCCTGGATGGACAGGAACTCCAAGGCCTAGTATCTCAACCGCAACTCCCTTATTGACAGCTGACACATTAGTGTTACCTCCATCCGATGAGACCCAATTAAGACAAGTTACGCTCCTCTCGGCCTTACCACTCCGAGCCCTAACAAACGCTGACGAATATGACCGACTTCAACATGAAACGCTCGGACTCGATTGGTCCAATGAACCAACTCACTCAAGGAACGATACCACGATTGAACTCTTACCAGCAATGAACACACGACCCCTGTCTTCCAATGGTAGAGCTTTCCAACCGACGATCGACTCAGCAACAATCGCTATCCAGTGGAATATGAACGGGTTTTTCCATAACCTGGCAGATCTCGAATTACTCATCAAAAAGAATCCATCCTGCATCCTAGCCATTCAGGAAACACACAGAACCAGTGTGGATACCATGAATCGATGCCTTCAAGGACAGTACACATGGCTACTGAAGTCAGGAAACAACATGTACCAATCTGTAGCGCTCGGATTACACACGTCGGTACCTTTCACACCGATTAGTCTGGATTCTAGCCTATTAGCAACAGCGGCACGCATCGAGGAACCTTTCCCATTATCAGTTGTTAGTATTTACCTGCAGTGCCGTAATCTACCGAACCTGGATGCTAAACTTCGGAATCTTTTGGATCAAATTGACGAGCCCCGACCGATCCTTGGCGATTTTAATAGCCATCATCCACTTTGGGGCGCCCACATACCGCCCGCCCGCCCGGAACTATCTGCGCAGGGATAGCTGAAGACTACGATTTAGTTGTTCTAAACGATGGAACGCCCACTTTTATGCGGGGGCAAACGGACACTGTAATCGATGTATCATTGGCCAGTAGATATATAACGAAGCGCCTAATATGGTCCTGCCTTGAGGACCCTCTGGGTAGTTAGCACCGCTTCATTGTAATCGGTATCAACAGTAAACCCCCCGAGACATCTCAACGCCCTCGCTGGCGTTACGATCAGGCGGATCGGGCCGCATTTGAAACGGCGATAGAAACAAGTCTAGATGTCAATAACCCGTCTAGAATCGATCAACTCACCACCACTATCTTCGACGCTGCTAAAGGTTTCATAAAACCCTGCAATGGTGGTCCCCGGAGACCAGGGCGGCTATCAAAGCTAGAAGGAAGGCAATGAGAGCAGTGAAGAGACTTCCGCCTGATCACCCAGAAAAAGGAAGAATGATAGCAGAATATCGGTCAAAGAAAAATAAATGCAGACAAATCATCAGAGATGCCAAACGCAGGAATTGGGAAGATTTCATCGACGGGATCAATAGTAACCAGTCTACTACCGAACTGTGGGGTAGGGTAAACTCCCTAAAAGAGAAGAACAAAAGGAATAGCCATCAGACATGAGAACGGGTTATCGAGAGACCCCTCGGTTGTAGCCGATAAAATTGCAGAATATTTTGCCAGCCTTTCTGCCATCAGTGGCTATAGCCAACTTTTCATCAGAAGCAATGCTGCCTCCTTAACGTCATTAGATAGAGTTCCCATTCCACAAGACGTCTCCTCTCTACCGATCAACCAACCTTTCTCCATGTTGGAGTTAAGCTTTGCCCTTGCGAACAGTAATGGTAAATCATCTGCTGGCCCTGATGAAATTAGTTACCCATTGCTGAAACACCTACCACACAGGGGCAAGCAGATCCTTCTTTCTCTTCTGAACCAGAAGTGGACCCAGGATGTTTTCCCAAAGCAATAGAGACACAGCTTGGTAGTTCCCATACCAAAGAATGGATCATCCTTGACTGATCCAAAGGACTACCGGCCTATCTCATTGACAAATTGCACTTGTAAAGTTCTGGAACGTATGGTCAACCGCAGACTTACTGACTTCCTTCAAGACAACAATCTGTTGGAATGCCTTCCGTAAAGGTTACGGAACGGGAACCTACTTTGCTATCCTATCCGGCCACATACTTCACTTTGTCCAGAATTTCCTCAAGAACAGAACCTTCCAAGTCGGCATCGGGAATCATAGGTCTAACATCGCAAGGGAAGAGAGACTGGAGTCCCCCAGGGCTCTGTTCTCGCAGTCACACTGTTCCTAGTGTCTATGAACGGTGTCTTTGGGGACCTTCCCAAAGATATATACATCTTTGTTTATGCTGACGACATCGTCCTCGTTGTTGTCGGGCATAGACCAGTTTCACTTCGGAGAAAGCTTCAAGCAGCTGTCAATGCCGTTAACAGATGGGCCAAATCGGTAGGTTTTGAGTTGTCACCGAGCAAGAGTAACTTTACACACATCTGTAACAGCCGACACCGGGCGGAGTCAAACCCTATCAAAATCGGAAGCAACACAGTGCCATACAAGACCTGCTGTCGCATTCTCGGCGTCTATCTAGACCGCCACCTCAACTTCCAAAAACATTTTAACACGGTCCGAGAAGATTGTCAATCAAGAATACGTCTATTACGCTTGATAACGAACCGTCGGAATCACAATAACCGCGATACTGCGCTCCGAGTTTCCGCGGCCATCGTAACCAGCAGACTGTTATACGGTATGGAGCTCACCCCTGCCGATCTTCAGACGAGATGATGCAGAAACTAGGACCAACCTACAATCGCTGCATAAGAATAGTCTCTGGTTTGCTACCATCAGCGTGTGTCGAAGCTGGAGTGTTACCTTTCCATTACATCATGGCCATAACCACCTGCTCGAGAGCTTTGAGCTTCATGGAAAAGACATACGGAGATGAGGAGGGAGTGTTCCTCCTAAGGGAGGCTAACAAACTCCTTCAGAAACTGGCTATTCAGGAACTCCTACCGGTAGCTGAATTAGACCGGATCGGAGGCCAAGGATGGGACTCTTCCAAACCGAAGGTCAACTGGTCTTTTCAATGTTCTTATAAAGTCGGAGAAAGTAAGGCTAGAGTTAGCTGGATATGATTTAATATACACCGATGGTTCCAAGGCCAATGGCAGAGTAGGTGTTGGTGTGTCAGGAAGAGATCTTGTGATACACCAGCGGCTACCAAACATGTGCTCAGTCCCTCAGTCTTCTCGGCTGAGGCCATAGCTATTCATCAAGCAGCGACCAATGCAAAGGCAACTTATTCTGCCATATTATCAGACTCCGCGAGTGTCCTTAAAGCCCTTGAAACGGACCGTATACGTCACCCATGGGTACAAATGATCCGGGCGACAGTGAAACCTAACAGTCTTTTCGTTTGGATTCCCGGACACTGCGGCATCCCGGGCAATGAAAGCGCAGATAAGCTTGCGGCCTTAGGTCGAGATTCGCAGCTACTCACCACACAGGTACCCTTTCAAGATGCCAAAACCAGGGTTAAAAACATAATTTCGGTAGCTTGGGCGGTAGCATGGCAACAAGAGAGACCTTTTTCTTCGTAAGTTCAAAGGTGAGACTACCAAATGGAATGACCAAAATAATAGAAAAGATCAACGAATCCTATCTAGGCTGCGAACCGGCCACATACGAATTAGTCACTGCCAGTCGGGATGATACGATCAAAGCCTATGCGATTTTTGTGGGATTCGGCAGTCTGTCGAACACATTATTGCTGTTTGCCCTCAGTATCAAGATTCGAGAAGAATATACGGACTAGAAACTGGTATAAGAGATATTCTTGCTA